TTGTGACTATATCACGTTGAAACCACGGTTCTCTTCTGATCACTGAAGATAAGCAACGTCGAGCCTGATCAGTACCTAGATGGGTAACCTCTTGGGAATACCAGGTGCTGTAAGCTTAGATGTGTGGGCGTTGTATTGTAATGTTGTGATGGCTCGAAATTGTAAATCGAAATTTCAATCAAGTTCGTTATATTCACTTACGTGCAAATACTATTGAGTAACGTATGAATCTACTCTTTTTCCCCAGCTATGGGTTAAATAGTATCAGTAAATCGTTATTATTTCCAAAACATTCTTAAAATCCAAACAGATTCTGTAGCTTTAAATAACCCGCAAAAGGTTGATAAGCCGTAAAAAACAATCAATCGACCTTTCAATTTGATGTCGTGTTCTGAAAAAGTTATTCACTAATTTGGATCATCAAATATCGGAGGTGTATATTTAGTTGTTTTTTTTAAAATTCTGACATTATGTAAATTAATTCTAATTTGAACTCTACTAGATTCTCTCTAAAAATGACAAGAATCTAACATTAACTGTTACTGTTTAACACGCCAATGATTATATTATTGGCATTTACTTACTAAATTCATTTAAACTTTGTTTTTAACAGATACATAATACACACACACATCCATCCCCATATATATATATATATATATATATATATATATATATATATATGAAGAAATATAGTCTTAAGGTGAGCTATATTTATGGGATAAAATGCTCAATATCAGAGACAATGCGTGTGTAAATATAAAAGTGAACATTGAAGTCAATAGGCCTGACGATTGCGTCTATCATGAAACAGACTGTCGCCTCTAAGTGTTGACTTCAATGTTTACATATATATATATATATATATATATATATATATATATATATATATATATATATATATTTCTAAGAATTAATGATTTAATTTTTAATTCGATATTTTTAATACTTATTTTTAATTCGACATTTTTATTATATATCAGATCAACCATAAATCCGTTCGCTTCCTTTTAAAAGCAGTTCATGATAAAAAATGCTGAGTGTATATGATAGGCGTATTTGGTAATTAGACAAACAATGGCGTATTCGCTACATTCACATTATTTTCTTAATGACATTCAGCTGGAAAATTCAATGACAGACGTCAAATTATGAAACACTTTTAGAGCGAACAATAAATGAACAATGACAGAATAACATCGGTGGCTTATTATTGTTCCAAGATTATAACCTAGCTTTAATTTGAAACATTGACTTGGAGAAAAAAAGTTTACATTTTTTTAGAATGGAATTGAAAACTAATATCACACTAACGCCCTTTCCATTCAAGTACTAGTAGCACCGGAGTGATAATTTATACCAATTTTAGTATTTACAATATTATAATTTTCGGTGAAGATCAAGATGGCAAAAAAAAAACGCCTGTGTCATCAGCAAATTGCTAATATGGCAGCGAGGCTTGGACCACGTACGCCAGGCAAGAAAGGTGTCTGAACACCTTTCACATGAGAAGCATCCGCCGCATCCTGGGAAGACAAGGTGCCCAACACTGAAGTCCTGTCTCGAGCAGGTCTACTCAGCATGTTCACACTGCTCAAACAGCGCAGACTCCGTTGGTTAGGCCACGTTCACCGCATGCCAGACGGTCGCATCCACAAAGACCTCCTGTATGGAGAGCTGGCCTCTGGAAGGAGACCTGCCGGGTGGCCACAGCTGCGGTACCGCGATATGAAAGCTGTGGACATCAACACAGAGTCCTGGGAGAGCCTGGCAGCCATACAACCCGAATGGAGAGGAACCCTGACAAAACACCTCGAGTCAGGGGAGGAGAAGCTGACACAAGTCGCCACGGAAAGGCGGGTCCGAAGAGAACAAAGTGACAGCTCCAACAGACCAGAGACAGAAAACACACGCGACCTCTGCAACAGAGATTGTCACTCCCGCATCGGCCTCTACAGTCACAGACGTCGATGCTCCAGCCAAGCAGACTAATGTGCTACCTATAGTCAACCCTGACCGACGAACCACAAGATCCGAATACAGAGAACTGGTGCACAACGTTCCACAAAGTCCCCAAAGAACCCTCCGCAGGTTTTGATTCCAGAGTTATATATATATATATATATATATATATATATTATTACATAATAGAGAAATCCCACATTATCTCATGAGTATAGATTATTTCAACTAACGTCAATGCGTTAGCATTTTGCGACTCAAATGGTGGACTGATTCAGTGTTAGAAACTTAAAATTAAATATTTCAAAAATATTTTTTAAAAAAGATAGCAGTTGAAAAATCGATACAGAGCTAAACAAAACGCTCGAGTGGTGGTAAAGGAAAGGCGGATGTTGTCTGGCTTAAATGGAAAGAAGCTGCACAAATTCAACCCAGATATTAACCCTAACAACACAAGTTGCGGTTATGAAAAAAATTAAAGGAAATTAAAGGATTGCCAGAAAAAAGAAGTTAAAAAAAGTTAAAAAAAAAAAAAATTGTTAATTATTAGTTATATAATAAAAAAAAACTATAAAATTTGTTACTATTAAAAATTACCAAAATATGCTTGCAAATAAAATTTAAGATTAACGATAAATGTTTTTTAGATAGTTTATATTAAGAAAAAACTGAAAAAAATAGAGAAACATGCTAACACATAAAGACTCCTGACCAAAAGTTCACAACAATTTTTCATTTTTGTGAAGTGTTTTGTGGTGTGTGTGTGTTTTTTTGTTTTGTTTTTTTCGCTTACTACAAACGTTGAATCACTTTTTGTTTCATTCTGTCTATGAGGAACGAACTAACGAAATCACTGTCAATTGCATGTGAAACGAGCTTTGCTAGTGAGTGAAGCTCACTTCTCTGAATGAATAAAACCGAACTCCTATAAATAAAAGACCCAGGTAAATATTCGAAAAGAACCGGACATAATGCTTGTTCGAGGCGGGAAAATGGTGCTCACGTCGTGAGGAAATGTCTAATAGAAAATCGTGTTGAATAAAGATATCGTCTCAGCAAAACCGTAGCTACACGTTTTGTCTATTAGCCAACAATAAATCAGTAAGCACTGACATGTTCGCTGAGTGTGCGCATGCGTTGTCCTGCATTGATCCTATAAAGGGTCCAGCTGATGCTTGTGTATGAAGACATTTTCCGTTGTTCAACTCCTCCCCAGGAACTGCTTTGACAGTAATGGTGGCGGTTTCTAAGTCAGGAATGTCCATGAATAAATAGACGCTTTCTCCTCCCAGCACCGACATCGAAGAAAATGATCAACAACAATGCATTGTGGGAAATTTGAATTTCTAAAATGTGTCGCCTGTACGAAAGACGATTATTGTTATTTTAAAAAGGTTTCTGTGATCCATGCATATATTTAACCTTTGCTTAGTGTACTATAACAAAATAGAATTCACATTGGTTAATGGTTTTCAAATTTACGATCGCTGTATAATATATAGAAATATTTACTATATTTTATATAGATATTTAGTATATTTAGACTGCTCTGACGCAAAGTCACTATCGTAAGTGAGGATAGGCCAAAATTATAACTGATCTGTTAGAATTGCGCAGTAATTATCGTTGTAGGGAAGATATATGTAATCATTATAGGTTGGTGATAAGAAAAAACACAACAAATTATACAATAAGAATATTTCTAATAAAAAAGTGTTTGCAAATTTCTTTAACTAGTAGCTATTATTGGAGATCAAGTGACAACAATTCTCTTCAGTACTCTCCTAGGTATTCTAGCTGATTTTAGTAATGTCGTCTGGTTGGTTTCATACATTGCCAGTCCTTCCAATGACTTTGCATGGCTCTTTGAGTGCTTCAGGCACGACAGCGTGTTTTTTTTTGTTATTTTTTTTTTTGTTTTTTTTTATCTCTTTCACTTCTTTAACAAAGTCTAGATATTTTAGGGTTTTTTTTACATGAAATGTCATAAAGTGATTTGTTGGAACAGCGACATTTAGAATTTGAATTTTCTTTATTTGCCATGATTAGATTTGGCCACCTGGCCTGGATTCTATGTAACATACTTGGCACAGGTATTCGATTTTGGCCGGAAGTGGAGTAAATTGTCCTCCTCATTTTAGATTGGAGAAGGCCCCCAGTTCCGGGGATTCCAACCTTCCTCATTGCACTAAAAGAGGAAGGGTCGATGTAATATCGACGCCAGCATGACAGTGGTCGCGGGGACTGGGCAATGTTTGTCCCTGGTCCATATGTATATGTATGGACTCCCCCAAGTAAAATTAAACCTGCGTCACATCCTGCGTTAGTGTGATGGCCGCATAATATACCTGGATTGTGTGATACCTGGCACATGAGTTAGATTTTGGTCGGAAGTTGAGTAAACTGTCCTCCAGATTGGAGAAGGCGCCCAGTTCCGAGGATTCCAAACCCCTCGCAGCATCTCCCTCAATGCAAATGAGGTACGGTCGGTGTAATAACGACGCCAGCGTGACAATAATCTACCTGGATTGTGTGATCTCTTTTAATTTCAAATGTCCATAGATTTTTTCATCGTTTTTTTTTTATTTTCTAGAACACATTGTATATTGTGTATATATGATTGGTTTACATTGTATTATTACTATTATTGTTGTTTAATACATTCGCATATTCATAGTAAATGTTCAATGGTTATTGCTGGAGAGTGAATGAAAGCAATTTTCCTCGGATCTCCAGCACCTTCCTCACTACTCATTACACATAGCAATGTTCTGCACACTGTCAAACTCCCCCTCGAATTTTCAATTTAATGGCATGACCATAACGTAAATGTTATAGAGTTTTCTAAATTCAGAGGCAATTTCTTCTCTTCGTCCTCGTCCCCCTCTTTCTTCTTCTTCTTCTTCTTCTTCTTCTTCTTCTTCTTCTTCTTCTTCTTCTTCTTCTTCTTCTCATTATTATTATTATTATTATTATTATTATTATTATATCATATTTCGATTTCTGCTATGGTCACACTACCTACTAAATCTGCAGAAATACCTAAGGCAGCTAGTGATGTGTTCTTATGGCTACATTCCATGATTTGTTTATTAACATTATTATTAATAATAATAACAGCAACTTCGACAACAACAAGGACAATAATAATA